AAATATAAGATAGCTAGGACATACAGTAGAAATAAAAAATATGTAAGTGTTTGAAAAACTATGGAGGCCATTTCAAAGAACACAGGGGCCAACTTACAGGAGTCCCCAGTGGTCAAACCTAGGAAAATTTGCATGAAAATAAATAATATTTGAGATACATGAGAAATCTGAAAATAAAATAAATATCCATAAATACATACTGATTAATCTCTACCAGTGAATATATTTTTGAAATGGGGAAGAAGGACAGCTCTTCCTTATAAATTTCAATGAGTAAGTGTATAAAACATCATGGAAATACAATCATTAGGTAAACCCCATACTAATAATTGCTATAAGCAAGAGTCTTCAATGGATACTGAAATTAAATGATATAGAACATATTTTCAGAGTCTCAAAGTATCTCCTGACAATAAAAGAACACTTTTGCAGTGAAAAAAACTGGCATACACCACCTTAATCAATTGATCATATTTAACATTAGTAGAAATTATACAAATGGATATCATTTATTCTAGATAAGATCCACTGGAAAAGGAACATTATTATTGTTGTTTTTATAAAAAATGCACTAATATAGGGAATACTGTGGATAAATCTCAATATCATTATGATGGGTGGAAGAAGACAGACACATACTGTGTGATTCCATTCATATTAATTTCAAAAATAGGCAAAACCAATCTATGATCACAGAAATCAGAACACTTTCTTATGTGAATGTCCTTGACTGAAAAGAGGTAGTAGCGAAACTACTTAAGTAGTTATAAAAATATCTCCTTAGGCAGTAGTTACATTTAAGAAAACTCATTAAATTAAACAATTAATATTTAAGCATGTATGTAAATTTTACCTATATAAAGATATAAATTAAAATTATTTAAAATAATAAAAAAGCTCCTCATATACTAATATAAAATAACCTGCTAGAAATATTTAAGTATTTATATTTCACATAAGTATGCAAAAGAAAGTTACAGAAAAGTATAAAATTGTGCGTGTGTGTGTGTGTGTGTGTATCTATCTATCCTGGAGTATGGAGGATGTGTGTGTGGGGGGGTGTATGTAGGGAGAAACAAAAAAACAATAACACTGTCTCCAGGAAGGAGAAACTGTGTGGCCATAAAAGATAGAACTGAGAAGGTAGATTGCATTTCACTTTTAGGATCTATGCATCTTTTATAAATTTGGGTTTTATAATATATATCATTATATGAAAATAAAATTTAAAATTGTTTCTACTAGGGAAAAAGAGATACTTTTGATTTCCAGGCTCATTTAAACATACTTTTTAAAAAACATGAAGTAACTATAACAAATGTTGATAACAATGGAACATAGGTTCCTAGTCTCCAGTATGTGCAAGTTCACTGTTCTTTCCTCTTATTAATTTGAATGCTTATAATGTGTTCAAAATGAAAAGTTATAAAATAAACAGAGAAAAATCTTTGGTTACCAAGAACACGAGAACAAATGAAAATAAATATAGATTATAAATTACAAATTTTTAAGGTGTTTTTGGCACTGGGGATAGAACCCAGAGGGCACTCTATCACTGAGTTACAATCCTACCCCTTTTTATTTTAAGACAGGCTATCACTAAGTTGCCAGGCTGATCTTGAATTTATGATCCTCCTACCTGAGCGTCTTAAGTATCTGAGATTACAGGCATACATCACTGTTTCTGGCTCTATTTAAGAATTTATTAGGAAAAGCAGAAAAGAATGCAGGGAATATATAAATAATTAGAACATTTAAAAGCCTGATAAATTGTGCTGAAAAACTGATTGAGGGGAAAAGGAAATGAAGGACTAATGATGTCAAAAAATCTACTGATTAAATTTACAAAGTTTAAAAAGTCATAGCAGAAATAACCCAAACTCCATTCTAATATGCTAGAAAACCTACATGGATTGTAATCTTCTGGGGAAAAAAGATTAAATGTAATACGCAAAATGTCAGACAAGTAATAACCATAGAAAAAAGTAAAAAAAAAATTCTAGACAGCATCGCTTTTTCAAACCAACAAAAACAAAAGAGTGGTTGATTTCATTGATGTATTTGTTTAACCATTGATAGTAATGCTAGAGCTATTTAACCCATTCTAGAGCACAGAATAGAAAGAAATGCTCAAAATTGCTTTAACATAATCAACCAGAAAATTGGATATAAAAGCATGAGAAAAACAGCACATAAAATAACAGATTAAATTTCCTGTAGTAATATGCTTTCAAAACTCCCAAATCAAAATACCCACAATTCAGCAGTGAATTAAAATAATCAAATTTTTTTAAAAACCAAATATGGTCTGTTTGTTCACGGAAAAATAAGAAATTTCAATAATAGGAAATGAATTTTTACACCAATAAATGTTTTTAAAAAGAATATAACTGTACAAAAAGCAATGAATATATCTATTACATGGTTTTCGTTAAAATGTCTTAGAAAAATATGAAAAGTGGAAAATTTTTCTAATGCAATAAACAAAATATTTCAAACTTAAAATTAGCATCTTACATTGATGACTAAGACCATCTATATAAAAATAACTTACCTATTGGGAATAAGACCTGATACCACCCCTGAGTCCTGCCCAGCAAGATAAAAGCATAAGCTAATAAATAAATTCAGTTTGTTCACATAGGCAAATAGGTTTTCTATCACTGATAACATTTTATCTAGGCAAGCAGTTCATTTAGACAATAACTTGATTATCAGGACTAACATTAAGAACCTCATAATACTCTCCCATCAATCTTAAAGAATTACATGATGAATTTTGCCCATCCCTAATCACTTTCCTGCTTTAAATCACGTCAGCCCAGACCCAGAGCCCTTATTTCCTGCTTTTAAAACACTATTAAACCCTATCAAGGTGGTGTTTTCCCTTGCTGCAATAAGTTTAATAAGCTCAGCTTTGCTTGATCATAGCTTTTTCAGGTAGTCTTTTGGGGAAATAAACCAGCAACAATGTGCTGTTCAAACCCAAGAAGCATTCCATTAAATCCCATTTAAGTCAAGGGTGGGTAATTCTTTACACAATCGTTTGAGTGCCCTGCAAATATCAGTCTGTGCACTTTATCAACATAATTAAAATCAGGGTCAATAAGGGAGAAAATAAAAATTGTCAATATTTGCAAAGAATTTGATAAATATTTTGAAAAAATCTGAAAAGAAATGAGAAACAGTAAGATGACTACTAATCCCCCCAAAACAAAACTTTCAGATAAAGAAAAATAAAGAAGCAAATAAATTAGAATAAAAACCCCATCATAAAAGTAAAAATATTAAGTCATTAAAATTATTGAATAATAAAGACATACCTTATTCTTGGATATGAAGACTTAATATTATTAAAAACCAATTCTTCCCTAAATTAATTTATTATAGTTTATGAAATTGCAGTCTAAACTGCAATTTCTCCTAACAAGAAGACACATGAGACAGGAGGCAAAAGAAGAAACACACAGATCCACAGAACAAAGATGGAGCCCGTCACAGATGGGAATACAGCATATGCGCAGGATGGCATTACAGATAAATGGGCAATTATTGGCAAATAATCGCAAGTAATGGCAAATAACTTGGCAACCTTAAGATTTCAAAACAAAAAAAAATTCTCATGATTTAAGAATTTGAATTAAAAAAACACAAAATAATTAGAAGTTAACATAGGTGAAGGGTTTTATGGACTAAGTATAAGTATCTTTCCAAAAATGACATGAAACTCAGAAACCATAAAAGCAAACATGGTTATACTTGGACATATAACAATCATACACATTCTTGTAACAAAATAAAGTTAAAAAGTGTGTAAAAAAATCTGTAATGCTTGACAATCCAAAGCTTATTTCCTCAATAGTAAATGTGCTCTTTGAAATCTGGAAGAGACTAAAACCTTCCCAAACCCTCAAAATTGGACATAAAAGAAGAAATTAAAAAATACAGATGACTAATAAACATGAAAAAATGACAAAACTAAAAAAACAAAAGAAATACAATTTAAGACAATAGTTTGGGCGATAACATTGGCAAAGATTTTAAATATTTATAAAATCCATTATCTGTACGGTTGTGGGAAAGTTGGCAATCTCATTCATTGCCATGAAGGATAAAATTGTTAACCACATTTTAAAGGAAAATTTTGCAATAATTTTCAGAATTTGAAGTGTGTATATTCTTAATCCCAGTGATTCAACTGCTTAGTAATTTTATTATGATATAATAAACAAAAGCAAGATTGTTGATATATAGGGAGGTTCATTGCACAGAAATTTGGTGCTAACATAAATATCTATGAATGAGAAATGCTTAAAACATTTAATTATATTTCATCTACAAAACAGTCATGCAGTCATTCAACAAATGGCACAGATATGTATGTATTACTGAAGTAGAAAAAGCCCATTGAAAAGACTATTAAATGAAAGAGGCAATTTGCAGGAGAATATATTACAATATGTCCCACTTCTAGACCCCCTCCCCAAAATAGTTTTTGTGTTTGTGCACATCTATCCTCTAAAAGAATGCACATACCTCCCTTAATAGAAGAAAGCTATAAGGGTGGCATTAATGAGAGGAGGGCACTTAATTTATATATTAATTATTTAAATGTCGAGTTTTTAAAAAATATCATGCAGAGTTTCTTTTGACTGTATCCTATTTTCAAAAATTTATCACATGGCAAAGGAAAATTATAAGTGTATCTTTATGGGAGCACTGAGCAATTCCATCATTTTGAGCTTCTTGTGTAATATTATTTCCTCTAGTGAGGCTCCTGGGTTTGAGTCAAGTGGCAGCAAGGGAAACAGTCACCATGCCCAAATTAAAGTCTCATCGATGATATCCCAACATGAGCATTTCTCAGTTAAGCATTTCTTATCTGCAGGAGGTATCCACTGCCACACAGGAAAGAGAAGTGACTGTGCATAAGGAAGACTATATCATTGTTTTGGTGAAGCTGGTGGTAGAAGTAATGGCACCAACTCTAACAAATATACCTTGTCTTTGGGGTCATCACCTACAAAGACACAGAGAGAAAAAATGACAGAGGTTAGAAACACATGCCCTAAAGAGGCAGGGGGTCATGAAATTCTTACTATTCCCATACATGTGATGGAACAAATCTATGTAGAGTACAAAGAGAAAGCCACATTTCTAGCAGCTGGATCCACACTATAGCTACAAAAATCACTTTATAGCTTCCTAACATAAAGAATGCCAAGTACTATTGTATTGCATTTTCTCCTTTTGATGGGCTAAAAAGTTAAGGACATTCTTCAGCAACTTCAAATTTTGTATCTGTCTCTTCCCTGCTGTTCTTGGCTCCTTAAAGCTCATTCATTTGATCAATTATTTCAGACAAAACTATTTGTCAACTTTCTAGTCGGAGTCACTGAGAATATACTGTATCTCATGAATACAATTTTCTAGCAATACAATGGATCCAGCCATAAAGAAGTACTGTCAACTGGATGAGAGAAGAAAAGTTATAAGGAAACCCTTCATGTTGGAAGGAAATATACTGAAATGTAGAAAAGCTATACACAAAAGCTCTGACATTTAACCCACTGTGCTATGTGGCCACTGGAATCCATTAAAATGTACTCAAATCATCAGACTGCAAGAAATTAACATATCATTTTCTACCCAGACACAGCTTCTAGAAAGCAAGGACTATTCTAACTAACAACCTTACCTCCAGAGTGTGTCTCTTGCAAAATATTCAGGTGAAGAGCTCTTTGTTGGAGGAGCCTTCTTTTGGAAATTTAATGGTGCCATTCACTCCCAGAAGAATTCCCAAAAAAGTTCTCTTCTGAGGTGATAAATAAATAAATAAATAAATAAATAAGCAAACAAATAAACAAACAAAAAACTCTATTTCCAGTGAAGCAGGTAATGCAGTGAGAGTCTGGGAAATTTGCTGTTTATTTCTTTTTAATATTGATTTCATTTGGAAACTGCTCCTTATTTACACAGCTCTGAAACCATAACCAGATGTTCCATGTCTCTATATGTTTTAGTATCAACACATTGTATCTTTCAGATTTTTAAAACTGAATGAATCATCTGAGTCCCACTGAAAATAGTGTCTTTTGCTTTCTTAAAAATCATCTTTCACTGCTTTGTTGGAAAGATTATTCCCCAAATCACTCAAAACAGGGTACAAATATATCTATTCTCACCAAAAGTTACTGAGAACTTATTCTATAAAAGGCAATACACAAGGTGGCTTTGTCACAAAAAATAAACTGAAAGTTATCTGACCACAGGAAATCAAAAGTACATTGAATGAATCTATCATGCCAATAAACAGCTAAAATGTAATAGTCTGATAAAGGTAATTCAGCTGAGGGTAGGATTATTGAGGAGAGACCTCCAGTTCAAGAAAACCTGTTATGATCACATAGCTATAACTCCTCTGTACTGTAACCATACTCATCTGGTTTTTGGATGAGTTCTAATCCCTTTTGGCTGCAACCAAATGCAATCAAGCCTAAGAAGAAGATATATTAATTTAAACCCATTCTAGGCTGCTTTCCTATAAACATGAAATTCCCTACCCATATAGTTATTATACCTGTGAGGGTGTCCAAGAGTCCATAGGTAGGAATGGAGACTTTGGAAGTAAGTTGTCAGCTCATACTCTGAAAATGACATTTGAGAATTAAGAAGACAGGCATGAACAACTGCCCTTCCATTTTGGGGTTTATTGTCACCTAACAGAGAAAAGAAAAAAAAAGAGGAAAAATAACATCTTAATACAAAAATATGCATGCATACAGATGTGTCTATATATACACAGGGCACACAGAATCTAACAATAAAACATTTATGAAGTGTGAGTATGCTATGCTATGCACAGACTGGGAAAGGTGGATATTACTAAGTCCTCTGTGTGTCACATGCACAAATATGAACCACTCTCTCTTTTCCCATAAGGTCCAAAGGACAGAGAACAGTTCAGTAATAATTATGTTTTTGAAATAAAATATTCATGTTCTATTAAGACTGTTATAAATTTTTTAAAATACTACTATAAAAATTAACAATCCCAAGCATGGTGGTGCCTGTATTCCCAGCGACTTGGGAGGTTGAGGCAGGAGGATCACAAGTTCAAGTTGCCAGCCTTAGCAACTTAGTGAGACCATCAGCAACTTAGTGAGACCCAGTCTCAAAATAAAACATAAAAAGGGCTGGGTTCATGGCTTAGTGGTTAAGTGTCCATGGGTTCAATCCTTAGTACCAATTAATAAATAAGTTAGTTTTTTAAAAAGCAACAAAACCATAATCTCTTCATTTCCATTCTATAAAGTCTAAGGACAAGTTCTAACAATTTCACTGGCAAACTAAATCTATTGTAACTTACCAATTTTCACAAGGCCATCTTTATAGAAAAATGCACATGCCAATAATATCTGAATATCTAGAAAGGTTGTATTCAACTAAATTATGCTAAACATTTTTTAAAAAGTAGTCTAAAATTTGCCCCAAAGTAACAATCTAGTGAAAGGGTGCATTCAAGTGCAATAAGCAAGTGTCCTAATCATTTTTCATTTAAAAGACATCCATAAACAATGTTTATCTATAATTTTGAAAAAGTATATAAAATCAACTTTTAAAAAATTTGTTCTAATTAGGTATAAATGACAGTAGAATGCATTTTGACACATCATACATGAATGGAGTATAATTTTTCACTTCTGGTTGTACATGATGTAGAATCACACCAGTCATGTAGTCATATATGTACATAGGATTGTAATGTCAGATTCATTCTACTATCTTTCCTACCCCCATACACCTCCCCTCCCTTCACTCCCCTCTACCTAATCCAAAGTAACTCTATTCTTCCTTAGTCCCACGCTTTTTATTGTGAATTAGCATCCATTTATCAGAGAAAACATTCAGCTTTTGTTTTTTTGGAATTGGCTTCTTTCACTTAGCATGATATTCTCCAGCTTTATCCATTTACCAGCAAATGCCATAATTTCATTCTTCTTTAAGGTGGAGTAATATTCCATTGTGCATATATACCACATTTTCTTTATCCATTCATCTGTTGAATGACACCTAGGTTGATTCCATAGTTTAACTATTGTAAGTTGAGTTGCTGTAAACATTGATGTGGCAGTGTCACTGTAATATGCTGATTTTAAGTCCTTTGGGTATAAACCAAGGATTGGGATAGCTCGGTCAAATGGTGGTTCCATTCCAAGTTTTCTGAGGAATCTCATACTGCTTTACATAACAGTATCACCAGTTTGCAGTCCCACCAGTATTGAACCTTTCCCCCCACATCCTCGCAACATTTATTATTGCTTGTAATATTGATAATTGCCATTCTGACTGGAGTGAGATGAAATCTTAGAGTATTTTTGATTTGTACTTCTCTAGTTGCTAGAAATGTTGAAGATTTTTTCGTATGTTTGTTGATGGACTGTATTTCTTCTTCTACGAAGTGTCTGTTCAGTTCCTTAGACCATTTGTTAATTGGGTTATTTGTTTTTTTGGTGTTAAATTTTTTGAGCTCTTTATATATCTTGAAGATTAATGTTCTATCTGAAGTGCATGTGGTAAAGATTTTCTCCCATACTGTAGGCTCTCTCTTCAAATTATTGATTGTTTCCTTTGCTGAGAAGAAGGTTTTTAGTTTGAATCCATCTCCATTTATTGATTCTTGATTTTATTTCTTGTGCTCTAGGAGTTCTGTTAAGGAAGTCAGATCCTATGCTGATATGGTGAATATTTGGGCCTACTTTTCCTTCTGTTAGGTGCAGGGTCTCCTCTGTTCTAGACCCCCAGTCTTTGATCCACTTTGAGTTGAGTTTCTTGATCTTTGAATAACCTCAGTGTAACTAGAAACCCAGATCTGACAAAATGAGGAATGCATTTGATTACTTATATTCAGAGTTCCCTCAAAGATGAACAGAGCAAAGCTTAAATGTGATTACTGATATCAAATTTGTTGATTACCCAATGAGCAAATGAAAAATGGTATGATCTCAAAATATTTGTTAGTGCTCTCTGAAGCCATCTGCAGAGCACTATGTCACAAATTTTATCAAAGGTACTTAAGGCTTTCTTCTATTGTCCTGTTAACCATTCAAATATCTTGAAATACTAGGTTTATGTAAAATTGTAATGCTGTAACTTTTATATACTAAGTTAAGCCCCAAACATACAATGATAGTTAAAATTTGCATTTGTCTTCTTAATATAGACATAATGATTCAAGATTATTATCTGATTTACTTCATATTCTAGCTTCGTGGCAAGTCTAAACAAATTCAGAAACATTTATCAATATGGCAACTTACTCTTCTATTTTCAAGCATACTTTCCCCAGAATAATCTTAGCTAAGATTTTAACAAAGGGTATTTTATATATTTTGTATTTATCTTATCTACATCTTTTATCATATCCTGATACACTATCGTAGCTCTAAATAATTTGCATCCAATGGAACTTTCTGTGACAATAAAAATATTTTATCATCTCATGCTGTCCAATATAGTAGGCTAGAGCCACATGTGGCTACTGAGCATATGAAATAAGGTACTGTGACTTTAGAACTTAATATTTTTTAAAATTTATTTATTTATTCTATTTGTTATACATGACAGCAGAATGCATTTCAATATGTAATACATTTATATAGAGCACAATTTTCATATCTCTGGTTGTACATAAAGGAGAGAGTCACACCATTCGTGTCTTCATACTTGTACTTAGGGTGATGATGTTCATCTCATTCCACCATCTTTCTTATCCCCATGCCCTCTCCCTCCCCCTCCCTCACCTTTGCCCTATCTAAAGTTTCTCCATTTCTTGCATGCCACTCCCCCAGACACATCCCCATTATGGATTAGCATCCACACATTAGAGAAAACATCCAGCCTTTGATTTTTTAGGATTAGCTAACTTCACTTAATATGATATTCTCCAAGTCCATCCATTTACCTGCAAATGCCATGATTTTATTCTCTTTTAATGCTGAGTAATATTCCATTGTGTATATATACCACAGTTTCTTTATCCATTCATCCATTGAAGGGAGAACTTATTGTTTAATGTATAATGTCTGATGTCTATTATATTGAACAACAATATAAACTATAGCGGTTACAAAATAAAACTCCTAAGAACATTTAAGATAATCTTACAAAGGACAGTTAAAAATATTTTTAAAAGATTGGTGAATCTTTCAAGAAGTACAGAAATATCCCCCAAAGGATAAATGTTATTCCTATTTTCTCAAAAAGAATATAAAATAAGATTAATAAAGGAAAGAACTTGATTTTAATTGTCCAAAGTCAGAAATTTGAAATTAAGTATGACTCTCAGGTGACTATTTTGTGCAATTTTGTTTGTTTTTGTCATTGAGGAAGTTCAATGAACTGTAGAAATGTTAAGTATTCCTTCTTCCTTATTAGCTTAGTTTCCCTAGACTATACAAGCACAGAACATTATTCTATAAGTAATGGTAAGAAATAGCTTGCAACTTTATATGTTTTCTCTGTGAAAATGAGAAACAAGATGGTATTTGGGGTGGGGGTGGTGAATCCAGCCCTAAATTATGTAACCTTGTTGCTACTGCAGCCTAGACCAAAAAGGATTATAAAGTAGATGTAGATCATAGAACTATAGTGGATATTTGCCCAATGCCCTTTGGGTCCAAGTGTTTATATTCCCACTTAAGGAACACATGGTACTCAAATTGTGTCCGGGTGTTGCAAAGGTTTGCATTTTACACCAATATATGAATTTGGCACTTGTATGGATAATGTTAAAAAAAATTATAGAAGTAAAGACTATTGATACACCCTCCTGCTTGTTCAAATTTGTAAGCTCAATATCAATCATTCTTTGACTGAATTATAAATCTCAACAGTTCTTGCTGAACAATGGTAAATAAAAACTTATGGGCCAGAGTAGCAGTATATCACTATGCATACTTAATTCTCTGGTCTCAAACATAGTAAATGTTGCCCTAAAAATTCCTGCTAACAAATATGTGGATGTAAGTCTGGAACAGTTGAGTTTTCTGAATTTTGGAAAATGTTTTTTCAAAATAAATATTTTTATTTAGTTTTAAGAAAACTACACAGACACATTCCTTCAACTAGGATTTAAGTTAAGATAATGTATCACTGTCTCTGCAAAGCCTGCTACTTCTGTGGGAATCCTGGAAAAATATCAACTGATATGCTTTATACCCAATTCTTCCACAATTAGGTGGTGGAAACAATATTCCTCTATATATGGAAAACAGTACTTCTCAACTGTTTCTTTTCATCATAATCTCCATGGATATCCTTAGACATTTTTCCTTAATTTTCATTCCCCATTCCTGTCCAAATCTTAGTAATACAATTATGCCATGTATCTATCTGATTATGTATATAGTTGTTTGGAGAACAAGTCAGTGAAATAATGAAAATTTTTTCCCCCTAAGAATCAGTGTCATCCATGAGGATATTAATTATGTTGCCAATACCTAGTATAGAGTAAGTTGAGAAAAATAACTAAATGTGTAAGGAGTGTATACAGGGTATTCCAGCCTATAACAAACTGTGTTTGGAGACAGTTGGAGGCAGTTTCAATTTAGGATCTTTAAGATGAAAGCATCCCCTTCAATGATTAGAAGAGACAGAAGATAGAAATAAAGACTATATTACTTACAAGTCCTTGGGGAGTATATCACATGCTCTGGAGGTCACATGCAGAAGTCAAGCAGCACATGGAGAGAAGAAAGGAGGGAAAGGGAGAGGGAAAGGAGAAGAAAAGGGAGTGAAGGGTGAGAGAGAGGGAGAGTTAGTTGAGTTCATAGTGTTATCCACACAGGCTTCCTTGGGAGTTTTAATTGGTGGGTTTAAAGCAAGAAAACACAAATTCCATGGAGTCACACTGTGATAGAGAGGTGGTCACTGCAGCATATGTGCACAATCCATATGGGGTGGGGTGAGAGTTAACAGGGCCAGTCAAGTAGGTTGTACCTAGATGTCCCATAGGGAGGTGGTCAACCAAGAGGCAATTACAAAAGGCAGTTATCTGGATTGACTACATTGAGGAAATGGGAGGAGGTACAGAACTGGAAACTGTCCTAGATGAATAAATCCTGCTTCTGATATGAGAAAGTTAAATATACTCAAAATGGATGCTGGGGCAAAAATTAAAGTTGTAAGAATTGGCTACATCCTTCTAATACTCACACCCTACAAAATACACTGTTGAAGTCCCAGGTGCATTCTCTGTCATACATCTCATTTTGGCCCAATATCATCTCTGTTCCTAAAAGAGAAGGAGACATTCAAACACTCTTGACTGACTAGTGCTTTTATGGTATAAGCTAAGCATAGAAATATAAAAAATCTAGAATTTGAAGGAATGGAAGCCAGGGAGAACTTAAAATATTATTAATGTTGATTAATTATAAGATGATTTCCAATGTAGATTAAATTATTGGCTAGTTAAAAAACACAAATTAGCTAGAAACATAAATAGATTTAGAGTGATACTATGTTGTTGAAGAATCTTCTGAAAAACTTACAGGCCCTGATGCCAACGGGAATGAAATGTCAATGTTGGGTTTCTCAGTTTCAAGCATTTTCTTTCTTAGCTCTTCCCTTGAGAGAGCACAATGGGATAAACAATAACATACCTAATTGAATCTACAGGGTCAGTAGTAATATCCCCTCTTTCAAAACTAATTTTAGTGATTTGTATCAGTCTATATAAATTTTATCAATTTCACTCATGTTTAATTTTATGGATTTTTTTGTATATTTTTTCTTTCTTCATATCAACAATTTTTGCTCAGATCTATATTATTTACTTCCTCCTGTGCACTTTGGGTTGTATTTTCTCATTTAGCATTTTTCTTATTTCCCAAGGTAGAAGCTTATTTATCTTTCTCTTTTCTGATATAATCACTGTATGCTTCCATCTGAGCATTTCTTTAATTATATCACACTCAGCACAAAATGTTTTATACTTTCTTTTAACATATTTTATTTTACTCATGGGTTCTATATGGTGTGTTTATTTCCAAATATTTGGCAATTTTCAACTTGATTTTTATTTCTAATTTCTCTGTGGTCATAGAACATACTCTACATTATTTCAGTCCTTTTAAAAGCTTATTGAGTATAGTTTTATGGCTTAACATCTAATCTATCTTGGAGAATGTTCAGGTATGCTTGAAAATAAATTGTATTCTGCTATTGTTGGATAGAGTGTTTCAATATATCTATATCCAGTATGTATCTTATATCTATAGATGTCTCTCCCTTTCTCTCTTGCTCACCCTCTCTCTGTGTCTCTCTCTCTCACACACACACACACACACACACACACACAAACACACAATCATCAGTGACCCAGATTCCATTGCTGCCCAGTACAGTGTCCTGTGGGGTATTACATAATACCTACAAAAATCATATAATATCAATATTTCATGGATAAAATATCACTAACATGAGAATTCCCACTGGCCCCCAAAGACAGGATGGCAGAAATCATTTCCCACAAATTTCTTTATTTCACATCTCATGGTGAAAGAATGGATTTTAATGTAAGGCCCAGTACTTTGTCCTTGTTGACCTGTAGGAATAAAAACAATGAAAGAGGAGAGGTATAGAAGCATACATGTTCATTGGTCTATGAGGCACAGTAGGGTTCAGTTATATATTGCATATTAAATTAGCTAATGTAGTACTCTTCTAGAATGGGTACTATGGTCATTGTATTAGCTTCCAACCTCTATCAGGGAACATTGTGCCCAATACTTTCTGCCAGACAAATGTGCAGTCAGACTAAATGAATATACTTAGACTACAAAAAATGGTGAACTGGTGAATAGCATATCAATTTAATTCAACCATAGAATCATTTAACCTTCAAAGGTGATTCAATGGATTGGGAAGAAGGTAGTCATGAAAAGCTATGGCAGGGAAAAGAAAGAACAACTGTCTAAATATGGATTGTAGCATTTAACATGTTTGAGTACAGAAACCTAGAAATTTGCAGAGGCTGCCCAAGGTTATGTATGTTGCACCCCATTCAGTTTAGAGTGGTCAGAGCAATGCAGGGAGGACACACCCAGGTAAAGTATATACATGTGATTAGAATGGTTGTGTAGCATGCATAGAGTGAATAATGCAGACACTGGGCCCTCTCACTGTGAGATACTCCCCATCCTCCTTTCAGAGTAAAGCTCACCAGGCCCACAGCTACAGACTCAGTGGGACTTAGGCAATTATATCTCTCAGCAGTGTCAAGCTTCTCTCTGCCACACCAGTAAGGAAGAGCATCTCCATCACTCTCCATGCCTAGTTTCCAGAGAAGGAATCATTAGGAAGATTGAGAATGTGCCAAAATTCTAGAAAAGAACAAAATGAAATCTCAGAGTACTATTCAGATGATAAAGGCCTTCAGTGTCTGAATTAAAAGATTGTAAACAGCACCAATTAAATTCCAGAATTTTTATATATATATATATGACAGAAGAATGCATTATAATTCTTATTATACATATAGAGTACAATTTTTCATATCTCTGATTGTATTCAAAATATATTCACACCAATTCGTGTCTTCATACATGTACTGTGGATAATAATGTCTATTACATTCCACCAACATTTCTAACCCCATGCCCCCTCCTTTCCCCTCCCACCCCTTTGCCCTATCTAGAGTTTGTCTATTCCTCCCATGATCCTCCTCCCTACCCCACTATGAATAAGCCTCCTTATATCAGAGAAAATATTTGGCATTTGGGTTTTTGGGATTGGCTAACTTCACTCAGCATCATCTTCTCTAACTCCATACATTTACCTGCAAGTGCCATGATTTTATTCTCTTATTGCTGAGTAATATTCTATTGTGTATATATGCCACATAACTCAAATTGGCACTATTTGCTGATGATATGATTCTATACCTAGAAGACCCTAAAAGTTCCATCAGAAAACTTCTAGAGCTAGTAAATGCATTCAGCAAACTAGCAGGATATAAAATCAATACCCATAAATCAAATGCATTTCTGTTTATCAGTGACAAATCCTTAGAAAAGGAAACGAACTACCCCATTTACGATAGCCTCAAACAAACAAACAAACTTGGGAATCAATAAAAGAGGTGAAAGATCTATATAATGAAAATTACAGAACCCTAAAGAAAGAAATCAAAGAAGACCTTAGAGGATGGAAAGATCTGTTAATTCAGACATTGGAAAGGCCTTTATTATCCACCTTACTCTTGGATAAGCAGAATTAATATTATCAAAATGACCATACTACCAAAAGCACTATACAGATTTAATGCAATTCTGATCAAAATTCCAGTGGCATTCCTCATAGAAATAGAAAAAGCAGTCATGAAATTTATTTGGAAAAATAAGAGACCCAGAATAGCTAACACAATTCTTAGCAGGAAGAGTGAAGCAGGTGGCATCACTATACCAGATATTAAACTATACTACCAAATTCTTAATAATAAAACTAGTTAGGAAAGAACTATAAAAAATTAAATGTTAACTCAAGCGTGTGCCATTCTGTTCCTTCTCAAACAAGCTGGTAGAAATGACGAAATTAGCTCTTCATTAGTGTGACAGTAAGAGATTCATGCAATTCCAATTTTGAACCTACAAAACACAGGGGAAATAGAAAAGTGGAAAAAGAAAATCTTCCAAATTGAATGTTGATTTTTAAGGAATTGATTTCACATATATGTCTATCTATCTATATCTATCTATCTATCTATCTATCTATCTATCTATCTATCTATCTATCTATAAAACTGTATGACAAAAAAACAAGTCACTGTATTCCATGGAACAGGAAAGTGTGGAAAATCTTTTTTCTAAAACCTGCTCAAAGATTCACCAAAGTCCACCTTAGCATCCCTCATTAAAACTAGGGTCTTCCTCAAAGAGAACAGGAAATCCACTGAAGGGTGTGAATATTAGCCAATAAAATTGGTATAAAACTTCAAGAAGTAGAATATAATAATTTTACAATTAAAACTATTTAAAGCAGTATCCACTGGAATCACTCAAGTATTTAGAAAACTGCTCTTTAAGGATGACAGAAAAAAATCATCTGAACTTGTACAGCTGGAATAGCAAGAAAATTTAAACACATTCTGAGACATTCCCATGATTAGAAATCACTCATTTTCCAGATATTCCTACCTAAAAACAATAGAGAAGACAAAAATATCTTTTGAACTGATCATTCAATAGACTTCAACAGACTGCTCCTAATGGAAAATTGTAAATGTATAAATGGTTAAAGGCAAGGCACTACCACAATAACTCAATGGAGTCTCACTAGTCATGTGCTAATTTCCCAGAGTTGGATTACTAAAAGGAGATAGACATTAACTGTCAAGTACTCACAAAATTTGCTGTGTAATCCACAATAGATATTTATAAAGAACTTTACAATCTATTTAACAGATGCTCTCACATTAGCTTTCAAATATCCTAAACCCCGTGGTTCCTACTGCCTGAATACCTGAAATCCCTCCCATATGTCTGCCTAACAGGATCCCCATGCTGGACTTCAGCTCACAGAAGTGGTTTGGTCACTCATTTTGTTCAGATTCTAACAAGATTCATTTTTGTAAGTCATCATTGGTCCAGGCACATTGAATAAGCGACCCTGAGTCAAAGGTATGTGGTAGATACTGATCACCCAGGAGTTTGTCATTCTGGGACACACAGACCCACACTCTTCAACCATGGAGCTCTGCATCACAGTTAATGACCATTCCCTTGGCTGTCTATCATAGCCAGTGTCCAGTGTCATTAAAATACTGTGATTCCCCAAGAGGAATATCAAATAGTCTCAGGATAAAATTCTTACCTTATGAGAATTCCAACTGGCTCCTGATGATGGGTTAGCAAAATTATTCTTAATACTTTGCTTCACATCAGCTCTCAAGAAGATTAAATAAACTCTTTAATATAAAATTCAGTTTTGGGTAGCATGCCAATCTGTGGCAACAATAAAAGTTTGGAAATGTGAAAAGCATAAAGCACACATTTTTTATTTGTCAAACATACTTAACACAGGAGGATTATTTATAGGCCTTCATATAAAATAATTTTATATACCTCTACTAGGTTGTTTCTAATATCATTCAAAAGGGAGTCATAAGGACCTGAAAGCCTGAGATGGTTCAGCAGTTAATTTATAACTCACACTGTCTGAATTATCAGACACTTTACAAAACAAATTACCTATTGAATTACATAAATATGCAAAAAAGTATATTTATTAAAAATTAGATATTACCTTTGGAATGTAAAGTTTTGTTCTGTCCCCAAAATGGAACAGATAAGAATGACAAATTAGCTCTTCTTTGGGATGATGATGATAATTCCATGCAATTCCAAAAACACTTCCAGTCTACAAAACACAAAGGAAATGAAGGAAGTCTTAAAATCTTTCCAATGGATTGATTCCTAAGAACAGTTTAAAATAAATTAGCTACAGATATTAATTTGAACGTCTACACAACTAGACCAGTAAAATTATATTCATTCCTTAGAACAGGATAGAATAGAAAAACAACTTTTCAAAGATGTAAAAGTTGACCCAAAGACTTTTGTGAGCCTTTACTATTGATAACTAAGTTGAGAATCACTATTTAAACACACACAGACTCACTGAAGGAATATGAGTATGAGCTGTTGGTATTCTAAATAATTCCAAATTTAGAAATTTAATAATATAATTTAAAAAATGTTTGATCAAACATATAATTTAAATCATATGGAATATTTAGAAGATTGCCTGCTGAATGGTGGGAAAATAAAAAGAAATGAAACAATGTTCTAACCCTTGGAAAAATGTTTAAAAATTAACTAAAATACATCAAATAAACTCTTGAATAAAACTTATTCTTCAATTTCCACATATTTATTTTAGTTAAGAAACATAATGAGCAAAGACTAATAATTTCTTCCTAATTTTCTATACATAAACCTGTGCATAACTGAACCTTACTAAGATGACTGTGGTATCTAAGAAAATGATGTGCATAATAGCTAAAAAATGGAAATAAGCTAGGTGCCCATCAACTGATGAATAGATAAAGAAAATGTGGCACATGGGGGCGGATCCAAGATGGTGGAGTAGAGGAGATACCATTTCTGGCTGCTCTGTGCATGAATCTGAGAAAGCTATCAGGTGGCTTCTCCACGGGGTCTCACCTTGTCAGAATACAACACCTCAGAGTGTGACAGGACCTCATACGGCAGATTTTTGCAGAATCCACCAAAGCTGAGAACACTGAGCAGAACTCAGAGCCTCTGTATTCCTTTAAGACTCCAGTCTCTGGTCCCAAAGCCCACAATTTGAGCACATGTGCGACTCTTAAGCTGCAGAACAGAAACATCAAATCAGCACCTCTGCAGAGTGGCAGAACTCCAGACTATGCTCTGCTCCCATGCAGGTCACCTGACAACATTCTAGCCACAGCAGGAGGACTTTCCAGCTCCCCCCACCTCACCAGACACCCTGATGTGGAAAACAGATGAACTCTATCTTGAAAAACCTTTCTTGCTATCTTTTGGTGGGTGTGGCTACCAGCATGGTTCTGCCACTGAACAGGTTCCTGGTTTCCAACTTCCCCTCCCCACAACTGTGATAACTTGGCACAATAACTATCAGCACAAAATTAGCTCTCAGTTGAATAGAGCTCAGTGCAACCAGGGCGGTGCTTACCTGGTACAATCCAATGGGGACAGCAAGAGGTCCCACAGCAGAGATCTGATAAGCAAGAGAGTGGAGGGGTAAAAACTGGGAGCAATGCAGATAGAGCAGATAGATCAAGATTAGGGAAGCTCCAGGCAAGAGACTGTGAGCTCTAATCTTCTCTCACTGGTTACCAACACCAAACTGAGGGAAGAGACTCAAGCTTGGAATAGACAACTCCACCTACTGGAAGAGAAGAGAAGAGAAGAAAAGAAAAGAGAAAAGAAGAGAAGAGAAGAGAACTAAATTCTTAGAGTATTTTGTGGTTCTTTGTTTGTTTTCTTCTCTTCCATTTTATATTCTTCCTTTTTCCTCTAGCCTTCCTCCTCAGGTCCTCACAACCCCAAAATATGTGAAACCAAGAACATTGCATGAAATAGAACTTTAAGAACTGAGTCATCAAAATAATATAATACAGAGTAATTGCATAAGTCCCCCTTTTTTCTTTCTCTCTCTCTTTTTTCTCTTTCTTTTTATTCTAATCCCTCCCTCTCTTCCTCTTTCAACCTCCTAATTTTTACTAATTTTACTTCCAAATACTTTCTAAATACATATGTGTTTGTTTTTATGCATTCCACTGTCCTCCCACATACTTGTATACCATAAATTACCTCCTGTCTATTCCACAGCTACTAACCCTCTTCACTAGAGTTCTCCTCCAAATTTCCTAAGTGATATTAAGCCCATACCTTCACATCTTTCTCCCTTAACATAACATCATACACCCGACCCCAGTTCTCTGTCCACAACCACAAACTGTATACCTTTTATGAAACTACTCATTATATTTTAAATAACAATTGAGTACAACATTTCTAGACATTGAGACTAACTATAATGGTCTTAATAAAAATAATTTACTCTAAGGTGATATATTGTTGATATTGGGAACGGTCAACATTGCCCTTCCCCACAAAGGAGGGATCTTGGAAGTATACAAGAGCACCACAAATCCTTAGGGTAAAAACAATATCACAACAGTCCCACAGAATGGGAAAGAAATGCGAGCAACATGAAAACACGAGGGAAGAAAGTACCACAAACAATTCAAGACAACACATCATTAAAAGAACTTACAGAAACAGCATAACAAATGACAAAGATTTCAGGATTTACATGAACAGATGTTTTGGAATCTCAAAGAAGACATTAGACAGCAAATACAGACAGTGAAAGACCACTTTGACAATGAGCTACATAAACAAATCCAAGAAGCAAAAGATCACCTCTACAGGTAGATAGAGGTCATTAAAACAAGACAAAACAAAACAAAACCAGAAATCCTTGACATGAAAGGAATAACAAACCAAATTAAAAACACAAATGAGAGCATCATCAGCAGAGTACACAACTCAGAAGATAGGACTTCAGACAACGAAGACAAAGTATATCATCTTGAAAAGAATGCAGATAGCATAGCGAAAATGATAAGAAACCAAGAGCAGAACATCCAAGAAATATGGGATAGCATAAAAAGACCAAATTTAATAGTTATTGGGATAGAGGAAGGCTCTGTAGAGGTCAAAACCAAAGGAATGAGCAAACTGTTAAATGAAATAATATATGAAAACTTTCCAGACATGAAGAATGAAACGGAAATCCAAATCCCTGAAGTCTACAGAACGCCAAATGCGCACAATCACAACAGATCCACACCAAGACACATTATAATGAAAATGCCCAACATACAGAATAAGGGGAGAATTTTAAAAGCCACAAGACAAAGGAATCAGATTACATATAGGGGTAAGCCAATTAGGATAATGGCAGATTTTTCAACACGGACCCTGAAAGCTCGAAGATCCTGGAACGACATATATTTCAAACTCCGAAAGATAATGGGTTCCAACCAAGAATCTTGTATCCAGCAAAACTAAGCTTCAGGTTTGAAGATGAAATAAAAACCTTCCATGATAAACAAAAGTTCAAAGAACTTACAGCTAGAAAACTGGCACTACAAACATTCTTGGCAAATTATTTCATGAAGAGAAAATGAAAAACAAGAATGAAAAACAGCAGAGGGAGGTAGTACACTGAAAGAAAAGCTCATCAAAGAGGAAAACCAAGTGAAGTTAAGTAACAAAAATAAACATGGCTGGAAATACAAACTATGTCTCAACAGTAAACCTAAATGGTAATGGCTTAAACTCACCAATCAAAAGACACAGGCTAGCAGATTGGATTATAAAAAGATTCAACAATATGCTGCATACAGGAGACTCATTTGATAGGAAAAGACACACATAGACTGAAGGTGAAAGTTTGGGAAAAACCATACCACTCACATGGACTGTGGAAGCAAGCAGGGGTTTCCATACTCATATCAAATAAAGTAGACTGCAAGCTAAAGTTAATCAAAAGGGATAAAGATGGACATCATATACTGCTCAAGGGAACCATACACCAAAAAGACATAACAGTCATTAATATATATATGCCAAACAATGGTTATAGGTATGATCATCAAACTCTTCTCAAATTCAAGTGTGAAACTGACCACAACACAATAATCTTGGGTGACTTTAACACCCCTCTCTTACCACTGGACAGATCTTCCAAACAAAAGTTGAATAGAGAAACTATAGAGCTCAATAACACAAGTAATAACTTAGACTTCATTGACATATATAGAATGTATCAAACAACATCAAGTGGATACATACACTTTCTTCTCAGCAGCACATGGATGCTTCTCAAAAACGGACCATATGATATGCCATAGGGCAACTCAGCAAATACAAAGGAGTAGAGATACTACTATGCATTTTATCCCATCATAAAGGAATGAAATTGGAAATCAACGATAAAATAAAAAAAAATCTGCATCACATGGAGACTGAACAATAGCTATTGAATGAACAATGGGTTACAGAAGACATCAAGGAGGAGATTTAAAAATTCCTAGAGGTAAATGAGAACACAGACACAACATATCGAACTCTCTGGGACACTATGAAAGCAGTGCTAAGAGGAAAATTCATTGCATGGAGTTCATTCCTTAAAAGAAGAAAAAGTCAATAAATGACTTCACGTTACATTTCAAAGCCCTAGAAAAAGAACAAATCAGCAGCAAAAGCAGTAGAAGGCAAGAAATAATTAAAATCAGAGCTGAATCAATGAAATCGAAACAAAAGAAACAACCGAAAACATAGACAAAACTAAAAGGTGGTTCTTTGAAAAAATAAACAAAATTGACAGACCCTTAGCCATGCTAATGAAGAGAAGAGAGAGAACTCAAATTATCAGCATACGTGATGAGAAAGGCAATATCACAACAGACACGACAGAAATATAGAAGATAATTAGAAATTATTTTGAAATCTTATACTCTAATAAAATAGAAGAATGTGAAGGAATGAAGGCATTCCTTAAGTCATATGATCTTCCCAGATTGAGTCAGGAAGATATACACAACTAAAACAGACCAATATCAAGGGAGGAAATAGAAGAAGCCATCAAAAGACTACCAACCAAGAAAAGCTCAAGACCGGATGGATACACAGCCGAGTTCTACAAGACCTTTAAAGGAGAACTAATACCAATACCCTTCAATTTATTTCAGGAAATCCAAAAAGAGGGAGTACTTCCAAACTCATTCTATGAGGCCAATATCACCCTGATTCCAAAACCAGACAAAGACACTTCAAAGATAGAAAACTTCAGACCAATGCCTCTAATGAACACAGATGCAAAAATCCTCAATAAAATGCTGCAAATAGAAAACAAAAACATATCTAAAAGATTGTGCACCATGATCATGTGGGATTCATCCCAGGGATTCAAGGTTGGCTCAACATATGGAAATCAATAAATGTAATTCATCACATCAAAAGTCTTAAAGTTAAGAATCATATGCTCATCTCGATAGATGCAGAAAAATCATCTGACTAAATACAGCACCCATTTTTGTTTAAAACACTAGAAAAACTAGGGATAACAGGAACATATCTTAACATTGTAAAGGCTACGTATGCCAAGCCTCAGGCCAACATCATTCTAAATGGAGAAAAACTGAAGGCATTCCCTTGAAAATCTGGAGCAAGGCAGGGATGCCCTCTCTCACCAATTCTATTCGACATACTTCGTGAAACACTGGCCAGAGCAATTAGATAAAAGAAATTAAAGGAATAAGTATAGGAAAAGACCCTAAACTATACTATAGAGCAATACTAACAAAAACAGCATGGTATTGGCACCAACGCAGGCCGGTAGACCAATGGTACAGAATAGAGGACACAGAGATGAATCCAAAAAATTACAATTATCTTATATTCGACAAAGGTGAGAAAAACATGCACTGGAGAAAAGATAGCATCTTCAACAAATGGTGCTGCGTAAACGGGAAATCCGTATGCAACAAAATGAAATTGAACCCCTATCTCTCACCATGCACAAAACGTACCTCAAAATGTATCAAGGTCCTAGGAGTTAAACCAGAGACTCTGTGTCTAATAGAAGAAAAAGTAGGCCCTAATCTTCATCATGTGGGATTAGGCCCCTCACTTCCTTAATAAGACTGCTATAGCACAAGAATTAAAAATAAGTATCAATAAATGGGATTGATTCAAACTAAAAACTTTGTTCTCCTCAAAAGAAACAATCTGAGAGAGCCTACCTCCTAGGAGCATTCTAGTGCTCACACATCAGATAGAGCACTAATCTCTAAAGTGTATAAAGAACTCAACAAGCTAAGCACCCAAAAAACAAATAACCCAATCAATAAAGGGGCAAAAAACATGAACAGACACTTCTCGGAAGAGGATATAAGATCCATCAACAAATATATGAAAAAAATACTCATCTTCTCTAGCAATCAGAGAAATGCAAATGAAAAGTACGCTGATATCTTCAAACTCCAGTCAGATGTCAGCTATTATGAAGACAAACAACAACACGTGTTGGCAAGGACGTAGGGAAAAAGGTACACTCACACATTGCTGGTGGGAGTGCAAAGTGGTGCAGCCACTTTGGAAAGCAGTATGGAGATTCCTTGGAAATCTGGGAATGGAACACCATTTGACTATTCCTCTTCTCAGACTATACCCAAAGGACTTAAAAACTACATACTGCAGGGACACAGCCACATCAATGTTTATAGCAGCACGATTCACAATAGCTAGACTGTGGAAGCAACCTATATGTCCTTCAGTGGATGAATGGATAAAAATAATGTGGCAAAACACAATGGAATATTACTCAGCATTAAAAACAGAACAAAATCATGGCATTTGCAGGTAAACGGATGGCGTTGGAGAAGATCATGCTATGTGAAGTAGGCCAATCCCCAAAACACAAAGGCCGAATGTTTTCTCTGCTATTAGGGGCGGGGGGTGACTCATAGTGGGGTAGCGAGGGAGAGCATGGGAGGATTAGATTGGTTGTAGATAGGGAAGCGGGGTAAGAAGGAAAGGGAGGGGCCAGGGGGTTAGCAAGGATGGTAGAATGTGATGGTCTTCATTATACAAGTACATGTATGAAAACTTGTATTGAGTGTCAACATACCTTATATACAAACAGAGATAGGAAAAATTGTGATATATATGTGTATTAAGAATTGTAATGCAAAAAAGTACATGTATCATGGTATAAATTGACGTGAACATAGTTTACATACAGAGATACGAAAAATTGTGCTCTATATGTGTAATAAGGAATGTAATGCATCCCACTGTTGTCGTGTATTTAAAAAGAATAATAAAATCAATAAAAAAGGAAACGTAGCACATTACAAAACAAGGAATACAATTTGACCAAAAAGGAATGAAATCCTATTGACTGTGAAATGAATGGAAGAGATCATATTATTAAGTGAAATAAGACATGCACAGAAAAAATAGTACCATGTGCGCTCTTTCATGGGTGGAAACTAAAAGTAGATTGCATAGAAGCTGAGAGTAGAATGGTGTTTACTGCAGGTTTGCGAGAGTACAGGAAGAGGAAGGTATGGAGAATATTGATTAATAGGGACTAAGTTGCAGTTATATAGGCCTAAGAAGTTCTGTTATACACAGTTGGGTGACCGCAGATAATAATGTACCTCACATTTCAAAAATTGAGGAGAAAGGAATTTTGAAACATTTTCCACACAGAAATGATAAATATTTGAGAGGAGAGGTATATTTAACCTGATTTAATCCCAATACAAGGTATTCATGCAATAAAATGTTACATGGTACCCCCCAGTACGTACATTATTTATGTGTCCGTTTGAAAATAAACTTAAAAATAACATTGCAATACTTAGAAAAAGAAGAAAATGGTATGAATGTTTCAAATGCAACCACAGCTACTTTCACAGTGTTCATTATGTATGACCTTGTTCCTAGCATTCATATACCATTCATATACCTGATAAGCAGGTATATGAATGGTCTGGTCAAGCACTCAGAGGAGTGCAATGTAACACCACTACCCCAAATTCAAAAAGAGCTCTCTATAATTTTTTTTACTCTAACCGAATATAAGGAAGATAGTTTTCTAATACCTTATTGCTTATGTGTCCCACTGTCTGAGAACCTTAAATCCCCCCCCCCCCGCCCCCCGACCCTGCCACCCCAGTCTGCCTGGCAGAGTTCCCATGCTGGACCTCAGCTCACAGAAGTGGTTTGGTCACTCATTTTGTTCAGATTCCAACAAGATCCATTTTTGTAAGTCATCATTGGTCCAGGCACATTGAATAAAATGGACCCTGAGCCTAAGGTATGTGGCAGCTACTGATCACCCAGGTTTTTGTCATTCTGGGACACATAGACCCACACTCTTCAATCATGGAGCCCTGCAACACAGTTAAGCACCATTCCCATGGCTGTCTATCAGAGCTAGGGTCCAATGCCATTGGAGTGATATGATTCCATAGGAGGAATGTTAGTATTTTCAGGAAAAGATGCTTACCATGAGCAAATTACCACATCAAACTATGAGAATAGAAGCACTTGAGAATAATTAAGCTGAATTCTTCTCAAACTCTCTTCCATGTCACCTTGCAAGAGGAAGAAATAAACGTTGACATACAATCTACTCGTGTTGATCTGTGGAAACACAGTAAATATATTTGTTCCTTAGTACCCATGTGAGTTTGTAAAAGGATACCCAGAAGACACCAAAATCTGAGGATGCTCAAGTCCCTTATTGTTTATAATATCCAAATACATGTAAATGCTGCATAAATTACATCCATTGTGATTATTTGCATTGTTTAGAGAATAATGACAACACAAAATTCTAGGGTACATGTTCAGTATCGATTTTTCCCCAAAATGTCTGATTGAATCACAGATGTGTGACCCACAGATAAGTATGGTAACTTGTATACGGTTAATTGTATATGTAACAATGGAAAGTTCATGTATCCATTTATCCATCATGGAAAGACTGGGCAGTTTACTATGTCCTCGTACGTACAATATACTGGAATATTATCCTACTACCATTTTCCCCATATTCCAAAGAGAGGAGGTATGAAATTTCTTGAAAAAAGAGACAGAAATATCAGATGTCTCATAAGATTATTAATACCTCCTGTTTGGATTCACAGACTTTATAAAACCAATTACATTCTTGATTACTTGTAACATAAACATGACCAATGAAAATATGTTGTCATTTATTTACAGCTGTGAGGCTAGAAAATAAACATAGGGCTTCATGCAGACTACAATGGCATTCTATCACTGAGCTACACCCCTAAACTGTACAAGGTACATGTTAAACATTGTGGCTGGAGGTACAGTTCAGTGCCTAGCATGTGTCATGCCCTGAGTTCAATTTCCAGAAACACACACACACACACACACAGACACACACACACACACACACAGAAATTGTCATGTTATCTCAGAAACTGGTGTTTTGATCATTTGAAGATACAGAAGTTGATAAAAAGTGGCTAGCTCAGTAGTTCTATGTTGTGGTCGTATTACCAAACTGAGGTTAGGAAGCTTGCTACATAGAAAACCATTGTCTGACCAATATCTCTAATGAACCTAGATGCAAAACTCCTCAATAAAATTCTGGCCACTCGGATACAAAAACATATCAAAAAAATTGTGCACCATGATCAAGTAGGATTCATCCCTGGGATGCAAGGCTGGTTCAATATACGGAAATCAATAAATGTTATTCACCACATCAATAGACTTAAAAATAAGAACCATATGATCATCTCGATAGATGCGGAAAAAGCATTCGACAAAGTACAGCATCCCTTTATGTTCAAAACTCTAGAAAAACTAGGGATAACAGGAACATACCTCAATATTGTAAAAGCAATCTATGCTAAGCCTCAGGCTAGCATCATTCTAAATGGAGAAAAATTGAAGGCATTCCCTCTAAAATCTGGAACAAGACAGGGATGCCCTCTCTCACCACTTCTGTTCAACATAGTTCTCGAAACACTGGCTAGAGCAATTAGACAGACGAAAGAAATTAAAGGCATCAAAATAGGAAAAGAAGAACTTAAATTATCACTATTTGCAGATGACATGATTCTATACCTAGCAGACCCAAAAGGCTCTACAAAGAAACTATTAGAGCTAATAAATGAATTCAGCAAAGTGGCAGGATATAAAATCAACATGCATAAATCAAAGGCATTCCTGTATATCAGCGACAAATCCTCTGAAATGGAAATGAGGACAACCACTCCATTCACAATATCTTCAAAAAAAATAAAATACTTGGGAATCAACCTAACAAAAGAGGTGAAAGACTTATACAATGAAAACTACAGAACCCTAAAGAGAGAAATAGAAGAAGATCTTAGAAGATGGAAAAATATACCCTGTTCATGGATAGGCAGAACTAACATCATCAAAATGGCGATATTACCAAAAGTTCTCTATAGGTTTAATGCAATGCCAATCAAAATCCCAACGGCATTTCTTATAGAAATAGAGAAAGCAATCATGAAATTCATATGGAAAAATAAAAGACCCAGAATAGCAAAAACAATGCTAAGCAGGAAGTGTGAATCAGGCGGTATAGCGATACCAGACTTCAAACTATACTACAGAGCAATAGTAACAAAAACAGCATGGTACTGGTACCAAAACAGGCGGGTGGACCAATGGTACAGAATAGAGGACACAGAAACCAATCCACAAAACTACAACTACCTTATATTTGATAAAGGGGCTAAAAGCATGCAATGGAGGAAGGATAGCATCTTCAACAAATGGTGCTGGGAAAACTGGAAATCCATATGCAACAAAATGAAACTGAATGTTCAAGGAGCTTGATATCAAATCAGAGACACGCCATCTGATAGAAGAAAAAGTTGGCTACGATCTACATACTGTGGGGTCGGGCTCCAAATTCCTCAATAGGACACCCATAGCACAAAAGTTAATAACTAGAATCAACAAATGGGACTTACTCAAACTAAAAAGTTTTTTCTCAGCAAAAGATACAATAAGAGAGGTAAATAGAGAGCCTACATCCTGGGAACAAATCTTTACTCCTCACACTTCAGATAGAGCCCTAATATCCAGAGTATACAAAGAACTCAAAAAATTAGACAACAAAAAATTAAACAACCCAATCAACAAATGGGCCAAGGACCTGAACAGACACTTCTCAGAGGAGGACATACAATCAATCAACAAGTACATGAAAAAATGCTCACCATCTCTAGCAGTCAGAGAAATGCAAATCAAAACCACCCTAAGATACCATCTCACTCCAGTTAGATTGGCAGCCATTATGAAGTCAAACAACAACAAGTGCTGGCGAGGATGTGGGGAAAAGGGTACACTTGTACATTGCTGGTGGGACTGCAAATTGGTGCAGCCAATTTGGAAAGCAGTATGGAGATTTCTTGGAAAGCTGGGAATGGAGCCACCATTTGACCCAGCTATTCCCCTTCTAGGTCTATTCCCTAAAGACCTAAAAAGAGCATGCTACAGGGACACTGCTACATCGATGTTCATAGCAGCGCAATTCACAATAGCTAGACTGTGGAACCAACCTAGATGCCCTTCAATGGATGAATGGATAAAAAAAATGTGGCATTTATACGCAATGGAGTATTACTCTGCATTAAAAAATGACAAAATCATAGAATTTACAGGGAAATGGATGGCATTAGAGCAGATTATGCTAAGTGAAGCTAGCCAATCCCTAAAAAACAAATGCCAAATGTCTTCTTTGATATAAGGAGAGTAACTAAGAACAGAGTAGGGTCGAAGAGCATGAGAAGAAGATTAACATTAAACAGGGATGAGAGGTGGGAGGGAAAGGGAGAGAGAAGGGAAAATGCATGGAAATGGAAGGAGACCCTCAGAGTTATACAAAAGTACATACAAGAGGAAGTGAGGGGAAGGGGAAAAATAATAAAAGGGGGACAAACGAATGTCAGTAGAGGGGGCAGAGAGAGAAGAGGGGAGGGGAGGGGAGGGGAGGGGGGATAGTAGAGGATAGGAAAGGCAGCAGAATACAACAGACATTAGTATGGAAATATGTAAATCAATGGATGTGTAACTGATGTGATTCTGCAATCTGTATATGGGGTAAAAATGGGAGCTCATAACCCACTTGAATCAAATTGTGAAATATGATATATCAAGAACTATGTAATGTTTTGAACAGCCAACAATAAAAAATTTAAAAAAAAAAAGAAAAAAAAGAAAACCATTGTCTGAGAGATGCATATTGGGGATAAAGAAACTAGGTTTTATTGAGGATGCCAGTAATCTGGAAGGAGCCAGACATTTTAATGTCTCAGATATCACCTTAAAGTCTTTGGGGATATGGGAAATATTTATATGAGAAATAGATTAGGGACAACATGCAGAAACCAGCATTTCCCAGGACCATGAGTTAAGAAAGCAGCACTGACCAGAGGTGATAAACTTCTAATGACAGTCTTCTTTGGTCTTGAGGGAAAGATGCTCCAGGATGCAGAGTAAAGAATATATCCTGGGAATGAGAAACAACAATAAACCAAGATGGAGTCACTGATGGCATGGCAATATCTAGTTTTAGCAGAAATAATTCTGAGAGCTTCGAATGCACTGGAGAAAAGATAGCATCTTCAACAAATGGTGCTGCGTAAACGGGAAATCCGTATGCAACAAAATGAAATTGAACCCCTATCTCTCACCATGCACAAAACGTACCTCAAAATGTATCAAGGTCCTAGGAGTTAAACCAGAGACTCTGTGTCTAATAGAAGAAAAAGTAGGCCCTAATCTTCATCATGTGGGATTAGGCCCCTCACTTCCTTAATAAGACTGCTATAGCACAAGAATTAAAAATAAGTATCAATAAATGGGATTGATTCAAACTAAAAACTTTGTTCTCCTCAAAAGAAACAATCTGAGAGAGCCTACCTCCTAGGAGCATTCTAGTGCTCACACATCAGATAGAGCACTAATCTCTAAAGTGTATAAAGAACTCAACAAGCTAAGCACCCAAAAAACAAATAACCCAATCAATAAAGGGGCAAAAAACATGAACAGACACTTCTCGGAAGAGGATATAAGATCCATCAACAAATATATGAAAAAAATACTCATCTTCTCTAGCAATCAGAGAAATGCAAATGAAAAGTACGCTGATATCTTCAAACTCCAGTCAGATGTCAGCTATTATGAAGACAAACAACAACACGTGTTGGCAAGGACGTAGGGAAAAAGGTACACTCACACATTGCTGGTGGGAGTGCAAAGTGGTGCAGCCACTTTGGAAAGCAGTATGGAGATTCCTTGGAAATCTGGGAATGGAACACCATTTGACTATTCCTCTTCTCAGACTATACCCAAAGGACTTAAAAACTACATACTGCAGGGACACAGCCACATCAATGTTTATAGCAGCACGATTCACAATAGCTAGACTGTGGAAGCAACCTATATGTCCTTCAGTGGATGAATGGATAAAAATAATGTGGCAAAACACAATGGAATATTACTCAGCATTAAAAACAGAACAAAATCATGGCATTTGCAGGTAAACGGATGGCGTTGGAGAAGATCATGCTATGTGAAGTAGGCCAATCCCCAAAACACAAAGGCCGAATGTTTTCTCTGCTATTAGGGGCGGGGGGTGACTCATAGTGGGGTAGCGAGGGAGAGCATGGGAGGATTAGATTGGTTGTAGATAGGGAAGCGGGGTAAGAAGGAAAGGGAGGGGCCAGGGGGTTAGCAAGGATGGTAGAATGTGATGGTCTTCATTATACAAGTACATGTATGAAAACTTGTATTGAGTGTCAACATACCTTATATACAAACAGAGATAGGAAAAATTGTGATATATATGTGTATTAAGAATTGTAATGCAAAAAAGTACATGTATCATGGTATAAATTGACGTGAACATAGTTTACATACAGAGATACGAAAAATTGTGCTCTATATGTGTAATAAGGAATGTAATGCATCCCACTGTTGTCGTGTATTTAAAAAGAATAATAAAATCAATAAAAAAGGAAACGTAGCACATTACAAAACAAGGAATACAATTTGACCAAAAAGGAATGAAATCCTATTGACTGTGAAATGAATGGAAGAGATCATATTATTAAGTGAAATAAGACATGCACAGAAAAAATAGTACCATGTGCGCTCTTTCATGGGTGGAAACTAAAAGTAGATTGCATAGAAGCTGAGAGTAGAATGGTGTTTACTGCAGGTTTGCGAGAGTACAGGAAGAGGAAGGTATGGAGAATATTGATTAATAGGGACTAAGTTGCAGTTATATAGGCCTAAGAAGTTCTGTTATACACAGTTGGGTGACCGCAGATAATAATGTACCTCACATTTCAAAAATTGAGGAGAAAGGAATTTTGAAACATTTTCCACACAGAAATGATAAATATTTGAGAGGAGAGGTATATTTAACCTGATTTAATCCCAATACAAGGTATTCATGCAATAAAATGTTACATGGTACCCCCCAGTACGTACATTATTTATGTGTCCGTTTGAAAATAAACTTAAAAATAACATTGCAATACTTAGAAAAAGAAGAAAATGGTATGAATGTTTCAAATGCAACCACAGCTACTTTCACAGTGTTCATTATGTATGACCTTGTCCCTAGCATTCATATACCATTCATATACCTGATAAGCAGGTATATGAATGGTCTGGTCAAGCACTCAGAGGAGTGCAATGTAACACCACTACCCCAAATTCAAAAAGAGCTCTCTATAATTTTTTTTACTCTAACCGAATATAAGGAAGATAGTTTTCTAATACCTTATTGCTTATGTGTCCCACTGTCTGAGAACCTTAAATCCCCCCCCCCGCCCCCCCGACCCTGCCACCCCAGTCTGCCTGGCAGAGTTCCCATGCTGGACCTCAGCTCACAGAAGTGGTTTGGTCACTCATTTTGTTCAGATTCCAACAAGATCCATTTTTGTAAGTCATCATTGGTCCAGGCACATTGAATAAAATGGACCCTGAGCCTAAGGTATGTGGCAGCTACTGATCACCCAGGTTTTTGTCATTCTGGGACACATAGACCCACACTCTTCAATCATGGAGCCCTGCAACACAGTTAAGCACCATTCCCATGGCTGTCTATCAGAGCTAGGGTCCAATGCCATTGGAGTGATATGATTCCATAGGAGGAATGTTAGTATTTTCAGGAAAAGATGCTTACCATGAGCAAATTACCACATCAAACTATGAGAATAGAAGCACTTGAGAATAATTAAGCTGAATTCTTCTCAAACTCTCTTCCATGTCACCTTGCAAGAGGAAGAAATAAACGTTGACATACAATCTACTCGTGTTGATCTGTGGAAACACAGTAAATATATTTGTTCCTTAGTACCCATGTGAGTTTGTAAAAGGATACCCAGAAGACACCAAAATCTGAGGATGCTCAAGTCCCTTATTGTTTATAATATCCAATACATGTAAATGCTGCATAAATTACATCCATTGTGATAATTTGCATTGTTTAGAGAATAATGACAAGACAAAATTCTAGGGTACACATTCAGTACTGATTTTTTCCCGCAAATGTCTGATTGATTTACAGATGTGTGACCCACAGATAATTATGGTAAATTGTATATGGTTAATTGTATATGTAACAATGGAAAGTTCATGTATCCATTTATCCATCATGGAAAGACTGGGTAGTTTACTATGTCCTCGCATGTACAATATACTGTCATATTATCCTACTAGCATTTTCCCCATATTCCAAAGAGAGGAGGTATGAAATCTCTTGAAAAAAGAGACAGAAATATCAGATGTCTCATAAGATTATTAATACCTCCTGTTTGGATTCACAGACTTTATAAAACCAATTACATTCTTGATTACTTATAACATAAACATGACCAATGAAAATATGTTTTCATTTATTTACAGCTGTGAGGATGGAAAACAAACCTATGGCTTCATGCACACTACAATGGCATTCTATCACTGAGCTACACCCCCAAACTGAACAAGGTACATGTTAAACATTGAGGTATAATTCAGTGCCTAGCATGTGTGATGCCCTGAGTTCAATTTCCAGAAACACACACACACACACACACACACACACAGAAATTGCCATGTTATCTCAGAAACTGGTGTTTTGATCATTTGAAGATATAGCAGTGTATAACAAGTGACTAGCTCAGTAGTTTAATGTCGCAGTAATACCAACCTGAGGTTAGGAGACTTGCTATATAGAAAACCATTGTCTGAGAGATGAACATTAGGGATAAAGAAATCAGGTGTTATTGAGGATTCCAGTATTCTGGATGGAGCCATACATTTCAATGTCTCAGATATCACCTTAAAGTCTTTCGGGATATGGGGAATATATGAGAAATAAATTAGGGACAACATGCAGAAACCAGCATTTTCCAGGACCATTAATTAAGAAAGCACTGACTAGAGGTGATAAACTTCTAATAACAGGCTTCTTTTGTCTTGAGGGTAAGATGCTCCAGGATGCAAAGTAAAGAATACATCCTGGTAATGAGAAACAACAATAAACCAAGATGGGTTCACTGATGGCAATGTCCCATTATAGCAGAAATAATTCTAAGTGCTTCTAATGCTCCTTTTCAACTACAAAGTACAGGAGAATCAGGAAAATTGAAGAACAATACCTTCCCAATTGAACGTTTACTCTTAATAGATTTCTACAAACCAATCATAGATATGTACTTGACATCCTATATGACAAGAAAATTATATTTACTGATTAGAACAGAGAATAGATGGTAATTTTTTTCCTAAGACATTGGTATCAAAGTGTTCCTGAAGGTCTCTTTCAGGATAACTCATTAAAACTAAAATCTCCATTTAAATAGAAAATGGTTGAAAGAATGAATATCAGTCCACAAAATATATATCAATTCAATTATTTTATAGTTTAAATTCTTCTTGCAGGATTTGAATCCTTCCCTCAAGCATGTAGAATACTGAGCCCCAAACACAGGTAACACAAAACACGTGCTTGTGACCATGTGAGGGATCAAACTAAAACATGTCATTACCCTTTAAGAAAAACAAAAATTACATGTTCCATAATACTTTTATAATTTAAGTGATAAAGCCCAAATAAAAACTATTCATATCTTTTAAGTGGTCATTTACTAGGACCTTAGTAGAGTATTCCCAGTGAGAAGAACGACTCACGTATAGGTAAAATAGTTTCCCAAAGTGTTCACTACTCTGGTGTTAATCTCCAACCCAGAATATAGAGGCTACCAGTGAAATAACAAAGGCCTAACTCTTATATTCCACAATTGGATATCTATAAACAAACATCCATTTCATTTCAACTAATCTATACAATTTGGTAGTTTTCAATTTCCCTCAGCTCTGTGGGACCTACTGGTTGAACACATAAAATTCTCCCAAATTTCTGCCTAGCAGGGTCCCTGTGCTAAATCTCAGTTTACAAAAGTGGTTTGGTCATTCATTTTGTTCAGATTCCAACAAGATCCATTTTTGTAAGTTATCTGAGTTCCAGGCACATTGAATAAAAGGGACCCTGTACCTGAGGTATGTGGCAGACACTGATCACTTAGCCTTAATCACACTGAGACACACTGACCCACATCTTTAATCATGCAGACCAGTCTCATGGCTGCCACAATGTAGTGCTGTTGGAGCTTTGTGGTTTCTACAAGGAACATAAGTATGTTCAGGCAAAATGCTTACTTTGTGATAAATACCACTTGCTCTTGAGGATGAGAGACTGAATGATTCCTAATACTTTCCTTCACATGACAACACAAATGAAGAAATAAATTTATCCAGATGAACTGCAGATCTTGGTCCACATTGACCTATAGGGAGAGATTATATATAGGAATATGAAAAGTATACAGATTATTTTTTTCACATTTGCATGGGATAGGCAATTTCCCTATTAACTTCCACATAAATATACTAATTTACAGTCTCTATAAAATGGATTAGATGTTATTCAAAGTAAAAAAAAAAAGCACAAAATCTTAAAAATAATGATGTCTCAGCACAACTTTAATAATGCTTGAGGCTGTTTGTATGAACATACTGTTCACAAAATTAAATTTTCGATAATTTAAAAAAATTATACCAAACCTCACAAGAATTTACTAAAAATTTGTTGTTACCTCAGGGGTATATTGTTTTCATCATTTACAGATAAAGGAGATGGTAGGTAACAATTTTAGTATGTGACTCTTCCAGTGGTGGGATTCCATGGATTCTATCATGCCTAATTTACAAAAGTACAGGGGAATTAGGGAAGCTGTGAAAAAAATGCTAATAGATTACTGAATTACAATTAATTTTAAGAATTCACACAAGACATTCATTGGACCAACTGTATGACAAACACAACTAAACTTGCTTGCAGCATCTTTGGTCACAACTATGTAAAATAATATTTTATAAAATGTTAATATCAAAATTTCCCTGGCATATCCATCCACTTCAAATTATTTATTATAATGAGAATATCTCTTTCAATACAGTGGAAAATACTGAGGACAGGTATATGTGTACAATACATTCATGTAAAAATGAACATAACCTTTTCACATCTAAGATATTTAATGAAGCATATATTTGAAGGCTGTGCTAATATACAAAATCATTCCCTTTTTTATAGGAAAAAGTGAAAACAAACTTGTCCAAAACCTAAATTGGCAAATAAATAAATGAATAAAATCCACTAGTTGATTCCATATATAGTAGTATCCTTTCTTAAATTTCCATGCAAATTTTTTAGTATAGAAAATAAAAAATAAAATATCTTCAATATCTTTGGACATTGGTCATCTCATTATACTCTAAAGACAAACTATCAGCTAGAAGACTTAGGTAGCTTAGATAAATGTCAGATAACCCAAGGACAGAAATAATAATTTCCTATGAATCTCACCAGTCAAGTCCTGTTTCTCTAGAGTCTATTTACTAGGTATATAGATGTCACCAGGTAAGCCCTTAAAAAAATCTGTGTCATCCTATAATTGGGTATTTATAGACCTATATACAATTCATTTGCTGTGAACAGGTTAGTTTCATACCCAGCTGCTGACTACTTAAACTCCCTCCACATGTCTGACTAGCAGGGTCCCCTTGCTGGACCTCAACTCACAGAAGTGGTTTGGTCACTCATTTTATCCAGATTCCAATGAGATTCATTTCTGCAAGTCATCATTGGTCCAGGCACATTGAATAAAAGGAACCCTGAGCCTGAGGTATGTGGCAGTTTCTGATCACCCAGGTTTTTGTCACCTTGGGATACTCTTAATTACACTCTTCAATTATGCAGACCAACATCCCAGTCAATGACAAGTCACATAGTCACCTAGCATAGCCAGGGTCTAGTGTCATTGGAATATTGTGTTTCCCTAAGAAGAATGTCAGTATTTTTAGGACAAAACAATTGCCATATGAGAATTCCCATAGGCCCTTAAGAAAGAGAGGCTGAATAATTCCCAGTATTTTTTCTTTATGTGATGACAAGGGAAGGAATAAATCTTCTTATTTGAAACCTAGTACTTGGTCCATGTTGTCATTGTTAATAATCTGGGAATACGAGAAGCAGAGATGTCCAGTTTTTATACTGCACAAGACACCAGTTATCACTATTTACCTATACAAAATACACTAATTTATAATTTCTGTAGAATGCTTCAGATGCTATAGAAAGTAGACAAAAGTAGAGAATAATTAAAATTAAGAAGACTGAAGGCTGAGATAAATTATCAAACTATTAATATTTAATATTTTAATTAAAAAACTCTTTGTAAACCTATTTAATTCTTGATTACTTAAAATATATTCACAAAAATAAATTTACTAAAATTGGATGTTTCCTCAGGAATATATTATGTTGATTCTTCATAGGAAGCTAACACAGGTCATAAAAAAATCAGTATTTCACTGGTATTGCAATGATATTTCAGGGAATTCTAGCACTTAATCTACAAAGTACAGGGGAAATGAAGGAAGTTGTGAAACAAAACTGTGTTAATCAATTTAATTATAAGCAATTATAAAAATTCACCTAAGGCATTGGGCCACATGCATGACAAAATATCACATCTTTGATCATGAGTATAAAAATAATATTTCGGGAAATATACATTTTTAAGGTTCCCTAGCACATCTATTTCAAATAAGTTATTATAATTAGACTATCTCTTTCAATGCAATAGAAAATATTGATAGGCTATAGGAAAGTAGAGAATAAAATCTATTTAAAAACACAACAATGTAAATTATAATCATAGCTAAAACTATTTAATGTGGCCTGTGGTTGATGTCAGCACTAAAACTGACACTGAAATTGGTTCCTTAGCTTATAGAAAATGTAAACGAAATAAATAAAAAGAACTATCCAATTGTAGTGACTGGGTTGGCACCAAATTAAAATATATTGTGACGGTTCCACAGAGTAAAGTACCTATTCTTCAACTACCATGTAACTGATTCACTTAATAGAAAATTAGAATTTAAAAAATCATAATTATGTCTTTGGATTCTGACTATATTTTCATCCTCAGACCCATTAACAACCAGAATATAGCAGTTCAAATGTGTGGCTAGCTCAAGGAGAGGGTCTCATGACTTATGTGTTGTTTTCAAGTATCTGTTTACTATAGTGTATGGATGCTATAAGCCAAACAATCAATGAGTTTCCACTTTTACCCCACAAGCAAATATTGATAGATAACTATCCAATCCATTTCTTCCAACAGATGCAATCAGGATAGCTTTCAAATACCTCAGTCCCAGTGGCTTATACTGCTTGAATACCAGAAATACACCTACATGTCTGCCTAGCATGGTCCCTGTGCTGAACCTTAGCTCACAGAAGTGGTTTGGTCACTCATTTTGTTCAGATTACAACAAGATTTGTTTTTGTAAGTAATCATTGGTCTAGGCACATTGAATAAAAGGGACCCTGAGCTTGAGGTATGTGGCAGATAATGAGTGTTCATCTTTTTATCACCCTAGGATGCATGGACCCATACTTCAATCATGGAGCCCTGCATCATAGTTAATGACCAGCCCCATGGCTGCCTAACATAGTCAAGGTCCAATGTCATTGGATTGATATGATTCCCTAGGAAAAATGTCACTATTTTCAGAACAAAATGCTTACCATGATTGAGTGCTCACATCAATCTGTGGTAATAGATTCTTTTGAAGATGAATTAGCAGAATTACTGTCAGAACTCTTTTTCATGTTACTTCTCAAAAAGAAGGAATTAAACTTTTCCTTATTAGCTCACCTTGGTCTACATTGCCCTGTGGGAATAAAGCCAATACTTTTAAAGACAAGATACTTATGTATCCATGGGAAGACTGAATGATTCACTGTGTGTCTGAATACCAAGTATACTGAGGCATTATTCTGCCACTATTTTCCCCATGTTATTGATAAAAGCACAAGTAAAAACTCCCTGAAATAAATAAGACAAAATCATTAGATGTCTCACCAGATGATTAATACTTCAAACTGTTTGGATTTATAGACATCGTAAAACCAATTTTACTCCTAATTACTTACAAAATAAAAATAACCTACAAAAATGTCTACTAAAAATTGACATTTACTTTTAAAATTGTCCTTTTGATTATTTATAAAGAAGGAAATTTATAAAAAGGACACAATCAGTAATCCAATGATGTTGCTGGAAGAATTCTGTGCATTTTCATATCATTTGTCATCTATAAAGAACAGAGAAAGGCAGGGAAATTGAGGAACAATGCTTTCTCAATTGAATGTTTACTATTAAAAGGTTATAAGAAACTAACCATTGGTATGTACACGAAAACTTATATAACAAGAAAATACCATTCATTGCTTGGAATGAAGGAGTATAGAAAGTGATTTTTTTTTCTGAGATGTTGGTGTCAAAGTTTTACCCAAAGTCTCCCTCAGTATCATTTAAAACCATCTTTCTTTCTTTAAATGCACAGAAAATTTGCTAAAGTATATTGGTCAATTAAATATACATGAAATTCCAAGAATTGGAAGTTTAATCATTTTACAATTTAAAACTTTTCATGCATTAGTTGAGTCCCTCACTAAAATATCTAAAAGTTTGAACACTGAATGGCAGGATTTAAAAAAAAAAACCTAAGAAACTGGTAGGAGAGGAAGATGGTATGGCTAAGCTAAGTAGTGACCCTTGATATCTTCACAATCCAGAGAGGAATCAGTAAAGGAACAGTGAATTAGAGAGGTGGGTGACAGAGTAAAAGTTCTAAGACTCAATATTGGAGAGTCTGAGACTTGGAGAGACTTGAGGTTTGGTTATCAGAGCAGAAAATAAGGACAGTGTTCCTTAATCCCAAATCGAGACCAGAATATGGTGGGAGAGAGGGGCAATAAAGAGAAAGAAAAAAACGGAGATGGAAAACCCATAAGCTCACTTCCTTAACAAAGCTGAAAAGAAAAGTAGACTAAATTAAAAAGCAGTAGAACAGCAGTCAGTGAAGGAAATCAAGGAGCTTAATCCAAATTGTGGATTGAAAGCTATGCAAGGCATAGCAGCCATTTTGAGGAGTCCATAGCTTGCCAGTCTTTCTAGAAGGAATTAAATCAACACAGCTTCTCTCCCACCTTAGATAGCAGCAGCAACAGCAGCAGCAGCAGTAGCAGCAGCAACAACAACAACAACCCAGAAGGTACACCTCTGAAGTGGAATATCTCCATAATCCATCTAGAGGGAACTTGTGGAGGGATCACTAGGAGCCAATAGTTACTGAAATCTTCATCCCCTCCCCCAACCACAGACAGAGGGAATAGGGTAAAGGAGACCCAAGACCCAAGAGCTGGTCATTCCTGGGAAGGGCTAGCATAACCCAGCCACTCTACACAGATTCCACAGGAGTTCAGGCAGATACAGGAGTAGAATGGACACCTGCAATTCATGGTGGCAGGCAGTGAGAGCTAAGGTGCTGGTAGGATGGCTGCCTTTGTCTAGCAGTGGAGGGGATGGCTGCCTTGATTCATGGCTAATTTGCTGCCATGGGCACTGGGAGCTCACACACAAGTGGGACAGCCGTCTCTGGCTGAGCCAGTGGAGAGAAGTGGAGCCTATGGTTCACAACCATAGGTAGTCGGGGTATGAATCAGTAGAGTCCCTTTCCTGGTCCCAGGGACAATGCCTTGGTGATCTGTGTCAGTCAGAGGAGAAGCTTCTGAATTGCAGATTACCCATGGAGAGCCCACAGCCATAGATCCCATACTTCCAGACAGCCCCCAGGCTCTATGCCACTTTGAAGAGGATCCTGTGGAGGAAAGCTAGTACACAATGATCTGCTGCAGTCAGAGTTGACAGTATCCTATGCTTCTGAACACAATAGAAATAGTTAGCAGATGTAAAATAGCACCTTCCAAACATCCAGCTTCAGGCCACTGGATAAACATATAAGAATCAGTTGGTGGGAGGTCCATAGGAATCAAGGGAGCACTTCTGGGTGGATACAAAGCTGAGGATTGATGAATATTCTTCTAAAAAATCCCAAATCATGATGAAATGCAAATCAAGAAGACATCAGAAGAATTTTCTCCACCTTGGCATGGTTTACTATAAATAGCTCTAATGTCAACTTTGGTCACATATATATTACTCTTATTTTGAATCAATAATTGTTACTATAGCATTTGATAACATGTCTTCAACTCATTTGGTTGTATTTATTCTAATGTTTTGTTTTGTTGGTACCAGAGATTGAACCCAGGGGCACTCAACCACTAAGTCTCATTCCCAGCCCTTTTTATTTATTTTTTTATTTGGAGACAGGGTCTCACTAAGTTGCTTAGTGCCTTGCTAAATTGCTGAGACTGGCCTTAAATTTGTGATCCTCCTGCCTCAGCCTTCCAAGTCACTTGGAATTACAGGCATGTACCACCATTACCAACTTAATGCTTTCAAGCATTAATTCAAATCATTCTGTCTTTGTTTTCCTAGCTCAGGTGACACTTGCATTTCTAAGCCCCTATTTTTTTTAACATTCCCTGCTACCGCCTCAAATCGCCCCATTCATCTTTTTCCTCTTTTTATCTTGGTGTGTATTATTCTTTTCTGTTTTTTCTCTCTTCTTTTGTCCAATTTTTCTCTTCTTCCCTTTTCAGCTGCTATATAATGTAATAGCAATTTTAATGTCATTAATAACTATTTTTTTCCAAACTATTATGGATATTACTACAAGCTTATACCTTTATTAAGAATGATAGAGAAGATTACCAATAAGTTTTTTGTTTGTCCTAAAGTTGATTAGTATGAGACTTTGTTCTGAAAGATCGTAGTAAATAGGGTTTAGTGCTTTATTTCAAAGTAGTGCTGACACTGGGAACAGCAGAAGACACACAGAGTGAAAGTATTAGTACTTGGATATTTGCTCACCCTGGTGCTTTTAAGAGAAAGAAGATCACTGAAGTGTTCCTTGTATAACAAAAGAAGCAATAATCATCCAAAGAGATGAGTAGTCATGCAAGCAATATGAAAAATCAAGAGAACTAATCTCCCTAAATACCCCATAACAGTTCAACAACTGACTACATTAATATCACAGTGAAGGAAATGTCAGGAATAATTTAGAAAATTAATAGTTAGAATGTCCAATGAGCTAAAATAAGATGTTAGAAAATACAAGAAGTGAAACATCATTTCAATAAAGAGAGATTCTAAAAAGAACCAGATAAATAAACAGCTTGATAAATCAAATTAAAAATTTAATGGAGGGGCTGGGATTGTGGTTCAGAGGTAGAGCACACGCCTTGCACATCTGAGGCACTGGGTTCAATCCTCAGCACAACATAAAAATAAATAAAGGTATTGTGTCCAACCTACAACAACAACAAAATATTAAAAAAGAATGCTCTTGGGCTGGGGATGTGGCTCAAGCGGTAGCGCACTCGCCTGGCATGTGCAGGGCACTGGGTTCGATCCTCAGCACCACATAAAATGTCCACCGAAAACTAAAAAATAAATATTAAAAAATTCTCTCTCTCTCTCTCTCTTTTAAAAAAAGAATGCTCTTTAAAAAAATTTAATGGAAAGCATCATAAATAAATAAGATCATTTTGAATATGGACTCTCCGACTTTGAAGACCAATTATATAATTTTAAAAATGCAACAATGAAGAAAAGATATTAAGAGATCATGAACCAAATATTCAAGAAATCTAGGATAATATCAAGAGATCATATTTAAGAATCACTGGGATTGAAAAAGGCTTTGAAACACACACTAAAGAAATGCACAATCTTTTCAAGAAAATAATTTCAGAAAATTTTCCAAATCTTACAAGTAAGATGGAAATCCAAATACAAGATGCATATAGAATTCCAAATAGGCAAGGACAAAATAAATCCTCTCCAAGACACATTTTAATGTGAAAGTCTAATATGCAGGATAAAGTTAGAATTTTAAAAGCTGTAAGAGAAAACATGGCAGGTCACATTTAGAGGTAAGCCAATTCAAATTTTAACTGATTTCTCAACCCAGACCCAAAAAGACAAGAGGGTTTGCAATAATATATAACAAGCCCTGACAAAATGAGTGCTAACCAAGATTACCATAACTAGCAAAACTATCCTTCAAAATTGAATATGAAATAAAAACCTTCAATGATTAATTGAAACAAATAATTTGTAACCACTAATCCTATATCACAAAACATAATAAAATATTTATGAAGAAGAAATGAAAAAGTGAAAATGAAAACTAATACAAGGATGAATCTCACTTTGTCAACTGAAGGAGAATAAAGTCTGAATTAAATATTAGAAATAAAAATGGCAGGAAAAAAAGATAATTTCTCTATAATAACATTGAATGTAAATGGTCTAAATTCTGCAATCCAAAGACATAGACTGGAATATTGGATTAAAAAATAATACCCAACCATATGTTGTTTACAAGAAATTCACTTCACTTTCTACCCTTTCACCAAAGACCAATGGTGAAAGGGTAGAAAAAAAATAATCCATGCAAACAGACAACCAAAGCAATATGTTGTCATATCAGGAAAAAGTATACTTCAAGCCAAGATTAATCAGAAGAGACAAAGATGTTTCTTCATATTGGTTAAGGGAATAATCCAACAATAAGATACAATGGTTGTAAATATTTCTGCCCCAAACAATGTGTATCTATACACAGAAAGCAAATGCTTCTCAATATAAAAACTCAAATAGTAATTTAAGAATATCTGATTAGACAGTAAATGGCAATCTGACACAACCCTCAGTGATGTCATTGTTTTCTTGATATGTCTTTAATTTGATTATTAGGATATAGTTCTAGAGTTGGGGTTGGGGTTGTGGCTCAATGGTAGAGCACTTTCCTAGGATGTGTGAGACACTGGGTTCTATCCTTAGCACCACATAAAAATAAATAAATAAAATGAAGGTATAAAGAATTCAATTCTATTTAATACCAAATAGTATTAGTTATTATCTTTTCCAATTGGAAACCTATTTTAGTTAATAGTTTTAGAAATATAAAGATCCATCAACTTTTATGCTTTTAAGTGCTAATGAATACAAAAAGGTTAGAGAGATATAGTGTTAAATTAGTGAAGTTTATTGTCAGTAGTGTTAATATGGGTAATTTTTTCTTATACTTTAAAGAAGATAATTTTTACTAATTAAAGATGGAAAATACTGGGCTGGGGTTGTGGCTCAGCGATGGAGTGCTCGTCCAGTATGTGTGGGCCTTGGGTTTGATCCTCAGCACCACATAAAAACTGAATGAATAAAATAAAGGTATTATGTCCAACTACAACTAAAAATATTTTTTTAAAAAAGATGGAAAATACTAATTAAGACACCAATTCTATTTTATTGTCTTTAACTACATTATGCTTTGCATTTCTTATTTTATAAACTTTCCTAGTTTTCCTACCAATAAAATAAGAGTATGATAAAAAAGAATTAAATATAGCATAATACAATAATACTAGAGAATTTCAACCCATTTATTTCATCATTAGATATTTCAGGACTAAAAATACTATTAATCAAAAGAACCTAATAGAAATCTTTAGAACACTGTCTTCTCAGTAGAACTTCTCATGGAACTTTCTCTAAAATAGATCATAATTTAGGGCACAAAGCAAATCTTAGCAAAAACAAAAAAGAGATAATTCCTTGCATCCTATTATAGCATATGGTAATGAAATAAGAAATAAGTGAAATAAAAATACAAAATCATCCTATCATTTGGAAATTAAATAATATACTTTTGAATGAGGAATAGATAATAAAAGAAATCAGGGAAGAAATAAATTCTTAAAAACAAATGAGAATAGAGATAAAACATGTCAAAATCTCTAGAAAAATATAAAGGTGGTGCTGCAAAAAAAGTTTATAGTACTGAGTTCTTACACTAAAACAAACAAACAAAAAAAAACAAAACAGAAAAATGTCAAATAAGTAAATACTCTAACATCACACCTCAAGGCCCTAGAAAAAGAGAAAATTTAACACCCAAATCAGTAGAAGACAGAAAAAAAAACAAGATCTGAATCGAAATTAATGAAATTGAGAGTATAAGTGAAAAGGATCAATGAAACAAAGATATGATTCTTTGACAAAATAAACAAGATTGTTAAACTCTTAGGCAAACTAACCAAAAGAGAGAGAATAAAATCAATAAAATTAGAGATGAAAAAGAGACATCACCACAGACACTTCTGAAATACAGATAGTCAATAGAAACTGTTTTGAAAATGATACTCCAATATGCTAGAAACTCCTAAAGATATAAACAAATTCCTAGATATATATGACCTACGCAAATGGAACCATGGGACACAGAAAACTGACCAATATCAAGCAATGAAATTGAAGCATCTATTATAAATCTTCCAACAAAGAGAAGTCAAGGACCAGATGGATTCTCAGCAAGGCTCTACCAGACCTATGAAGAAGAATTAATGATAATTCTTTTCAAATTATTCTATGGACTAGAAAAGAAGGAAACACTGTCAAATTCATTCAATGGAGCCAGTATTACCCTGATACTAAAACCAGCAAAGACACATCAAAAAGAAAACTTTAGACCTATATCCCTATCAAAAACAGATGTAAAAATCCTTAATAAAATATTAGAAAACTACATTCAAAAATATATTAAGAAGATAGTGCCCTATGATCAAATGCAAATCAATGAATGTAATTCACTACATAAATATAGCTAAGAACAAGAAGCAAGCAATTATCTTAACAGATGCAGAAAAAGAATTTGGCAAAAAACAGCACACAATCAATCTTCAATTACTAGGAAACTAGGGATAGAAGCATTTTACATCTATGTTGTAAAGGCAATATACAATAACCTAAGATCAACATGATTACTTAATGGAGAAAAATTAACTGAAAGTATTTCCTCTAAAAAGAGATTGAAGACCACTTTAACCACTACTATTCAATACAGTCCTTCAAACTTTAGCTAGAGCAATCAGGTAAGGGGACGAAACTAAGAGACACAATGAGGAAAAGAAGTCAAATTATTTGTTTGACAATGACATAATTCTACATTTAGAAGATCAAAGAATCTCCACCAAAAGAGTGCTAGAGCTAACAAACAAATAGCAGGATGCAAGATACACTCATAAATTAATTGCTTTCCTATACTCCAACAGTGAATCTGTTGAAAAAATTAGAAATACTATCTCATTCACAATAACCTCAAAAAAACAAAATGAAAATTGGGAATACATCTAACCTCTACAATGAAAACTATAGAACACCAAAGAAAGAAATTGAAGAAGATCTTGGAAGATGGAATGACATACCATGTTCTTGGGTAGGTAGAATTAATATTATCAAAATGGCCATACTACAAAAATTGTTACACATATTCAATGTGATTTCCATCAAAATACCAATGACATTGCTCAGAGAACTAGAATAAAAAAGTTCTTAAATTCACTGGGAAGAATAAGAGACCCAGAATAGCCAAAGCAATCCTGAGCAAGAAGAGTGATGCTAGACACATTACAAAACCTAACCTCAAATTTTACTACAGAGCTATAGTAATAAAAACAGTATGGTAGTTTCACCAAAAAAGAGATGAAGATCAATGGAATAGAATAGGAAACAGAGAAAAATTCATATAGACACAGTCATCTGATACTCAACAAAGGTGCCAAAAATATATGTTGGAGGAAAGATAGCTTTTCAACAAAGGGTGCTAGGAAAATGATATTCAGATGTAGAGGAATGAAACTTGATACCTATCTCTTAACTCTATATAAAATTCAACTCAAAAGTTGATCAAAGACCTTGGAATTAGAACAGAAATTCTTCAATTACTAGAAGAAAATGTAGGCTCAATAATCCAACATGTCATCACAGGATCTGATTTCCTTAACAAAACTCCTAATGCACAAGAAATAAAACCAAGAAACAATAAGTAGGACAGCATTTAATTAAAAATTCCTGCACAGCAAAGGAAATGAGAACACAAAGAGAGAACCTACAGAATGAAAGAAGATTTTTGACATCTACTCAGACAGATTAATATCCAGAATATATAAAGAACTTAAAAACCCTCACATCAGGGGGCTAGGGATGTGGCTCAAGTGGTAGCGTGTTCGCCTAGCATGCATGAGGCACTGGGTTTGATTCTCAGCACCATATAAATGTAAAACAAAGATATTGTGTCCACCTAAAAAAAACTAAAAAATATTTTAAAACCTCATATCAAAAAACCAAATAAACCAATTGAATAATGCACAAAAGAACTAAACAGACATTTCTCAAAGGAAGATATACAGATTGCCAACAAATATATGAAAAAATGTTCAATATCCCTGGCAATCAGGGAAATACTATTAAAAACTATAATGAGGCTTCATCCCACTGCAATCAGAATGGCAATAATCAAGAATAGAATAATTTATTATTCTATTAATTATTATTTATAATTAATAATAAATGCTGGCAAGGATATGGGGGAAGGTGTTACACTCATACACTATTGGTGGTACTGCAAATTAGTACAATTCCAACCACCTCAGAAAGTAGGATGGAGATTAAAAAATAAACCCAGAAATGGAATCACCATCAGTATATGACCCTGTTATTCCACTCCTTGGTATATATCAAAAAGAACTAAAATCAATACACTATAGTAATACAGCCACATCAATGTTTACAGCAGCACAGTTCACGATAGTCAGGTTATGAAACCAGCTTAGATGCCAGTCAACAAAAAAACTGGTTAAGAAAAAAGTGTGACATAATACTCAGCCATGAGGAAAAATAAAATAATGGTATTTTACTGGTAAATGGATGAAATTGGAGAACATCATGCTAACTGAAATAAGCCAGACCAGAAAGTCAAGTGTTCTCTCACATGCAAAAGCTAAACCAAAATAAGCGGGTACATATCGACGGGGAGGCAGTAGGGGAATCCCATTTATGCAGAAGAGAGATTAGTTGAGTAAATTGTTTGAGGGGGTGGGAGGTTGAATGGGAAAAGGGAGAAATAGTGGAATGAAACTGTCAGAGCTATCTTATGTATATATGTGAATATACCACAGTGAATTTCACCTTTATGTGTATCTATAATGTATTAATTAGTTTAAAAAGCTATAAATAAATAAAAGACCAGTAGAGTTAAGGAAACACAGGGAAGGTGAAAGGAAGGAAAAGGAGAAGTACTGGGGACTTAATTAAATTATATTCCATGTTTGTATAATTACATCAATATAAACCCCAATATTATGTATAATGCACTAACAATAAAAAATTTCACTTCTTGTGATCATATCAGTAATGAGTTAAAACATGATGTAGTCCAATTTGTCAATTTTTTGGCCTGTGCATTTGATATCATATATAAAAATAATCATTGCTGTTTGTTGTGAAGGTTTATCTTACCTTCTATATCTAAGAGTTTTTATTATTTCAAGTTCATTTAGTTCATGAACATGTTTGAGTTAACATTTTTAATAAGGTGTTAGAAAAGGTCCAACTTCATTATTTTGAATGTGGATATCTAGTTTTCTTCACTACATTTGTTGAAAAGATCATTTCTTCACTGAATGAGCTTGGTACATTTGTTTAGATCACTCAACCAGATATATGTAAATTTATTTTTGAAATCTTATTGGTTTCTGCACCTTTCTTTTTATGTTGGCACTATACTTTTGTTTAAAAGTTACTTTGTTTAAATTTTAAATTTATGAAACATGAGTTTTCTAGATTTTTTTTCATATTTTTCAAGATTGTTTTAGTTATTCAGGGTCCCTTGAGATTCCATAAGAATTTTAGTATGTTTTCTATTACAATGCCTAAATTTGTAGACTGCTTTGGTTAGTATTGATATCTCAACAATATTAAGTCTTCCAGCTCATGAATATAGGCTATCTTTCCATTTACAATGTTTTACTTAATTTCATTCAATTGTATATTTCATTGTAAAAGTCTTTTATCCTTTTGGTTAAGTTAATTATTAAGTATTTTAAGTATCTTTTTGTTTTTGAATTATTATCATGAATATCGTATATGTTTAAGGTTTACAATATGCTGTGCTGATACACTTATACATAGAGAAATGATTATCATAATGAGGACATTAACAGATCTGTAATTTACCTTTCCCCCCCCTTTTTTTGGTCTTGGGAATTGAACCCAGGGGTGCTTAACTACTGGGCCTCATCCCCAGCCCTTTTTTGTATTGTATTTAGAGATAGGGTCTCACTTAGTTGCTTAGTGCCTCACTGAATTGCTAAGGCTGGTTTTGAATTTACAATCTCCTGCCTTGGCCTCCCCAGTCGCTGGGATTACAAGTGTGTGCCACTGCACCTTGCTACCTTCTTCTTTTTTAATGGTAAAAATGCCTAAATGCTTTTATCATAGTAAATTTTCAGTAAACAATACAGCATTATTAACTATAGTCCTCAAACTATCTACTAGATCTTGAATATCCCACATAATTAACTACTTGTACCCTTTGATTCATGATGTCCCCTGTGCCACTTTCTAAAGCACTTTTCTACTGTTTCTATGCATTTGAGGTTTTTTTTCTTTTCCACAAGTAAGTAAGGTCATATTGTATTTTACTTTCTATTTGTTTTATTTCATTTAACATAATATCCCCCAGCTTGATTTGATTCATGTTGTCTCAAATGGCAGAATCTCCCTTTTAAGCCTGAAAAATATTCCACTAAAATATATAAATATATATTTCACATTTTTAAAC